CGCTTTCGGAATTGCAACAAAAGCGACCAAACTCTTTTCTTCGTCTTGGAGTCTTGACAAAGACTTTTGTCTATAACATTGTGGCAATACCTTCGTAAATTTGAAAGCGCTATTGCAGAGAGTAGAAATATATTGTTACATTGATTTGCCGATTTCGGGAAGTAAACAAAAGTATTTTCCTGAAACATGGTTATAATTTTCAGCTTTTTGCCTAACACAAATAATCCCTGCTTTATCAGTTCGTTGGAAGGAAGAAAACTAAAGGCTGCAATTGTTTTTGGAACAATTAGTATACATTTTCAAATTTGTGCAATTTTAATACTTTCATTAGAAACTACATACTCTTCGCGAGGTAAGGAAGGAAGATCTGAAGTGATCATGAACCGACGATATCTTGAAATAGTTTTGGGCCAAACCACGTATTCCACTTATTTAGACTTAATACAAGGAAAAAATACTACTTACGTAACCTACGTTTGCCATTTTTCGTTGTTAAATAATTCGAGTAAATGATATAACGATACAAATTTATTCAGGAAAATTAATTCACCTTCCGATTTCTCCTAAGACTGACTGAAGAGAATGCTACATCAAGATATTCTATAGAAATGACATTAGAAAATCAAAAAATACTTGAGGGACTTTTTTAAAAAACGTTACAAATGTTTGGAATTAGAGGCTTTTATAACTTATTGGGCAGCATGTGATAAACACACCAGCGCAAAAGAATGGTCGCAGCTCCTTATGCTTTTTGTTGACTAATGAAGGACAAAAAAGAATGTCGTTACCGTTTCCTCATCTTACCGATCAGTCTGAATGTTATATGACGAACAAATATTGTTATCATAATATGTTTCATTGTAGAAGAAAACGTATTTAGTAAAAATGAAATTTGGGATAAAAACTACTGGTTATAGCCAGTGGCGTATCTTGATATTCAGGCGCTCATCCCAAACAGAATTTGCTCTCCAGTCAGGATACTTCAAAACAGTGTTATTTGCTTAGCGAGTATACTCTAAATAATGACCCCTGTGAGTGGCGCCCATGGTACGTGGCATGTCTGCCATACAGTAGATACACCTCTGGTTGAAGCTTCTTGAGAATAATGAGGGGCGTTACGTGTAGTACTCTCTCCACCGCCAGAGACGCCCGTGTAGTTCTCCGAGCTCTCGGGGAAGGTATTCGTGAACGTACAGAAAGTAGTAGTCGATTCGTGACGGGGTCAGGTAATTGGTTGAATCCAAATTATTTTGATTCTGATTAAAATATAGAGATTATTTTAGGACTTTGCTAGTCACCACTACTGACGTGGGTGGACCTCGCAGGATTCAGAGCTGGCCAACCGAGTAGGCCATTGTCATTGTCATTGCCGTTGCCGTCTCTGCGACATCGACAAAGACGACGACACGTAATAATCTGCACTTCCACTCGCAGCGCAGCGCTGCGGCAGACTCGTGAAATGCTACAACTGCCAACGGAAGTTAATGGCGCATTCTGCCGCAGAGTGGCGCTTCCATCGCTCTAGCGACGACCGACAGCCGTTGTATCCCGACCACAAAGGACGACGTTACTATATCGTTGAATGAAATTCATCTATTTTCGAACGAACATTAGGGACTTCAAGCACAGTGTAGCTTATGGCAATCGATAGCAATATCACAACCACCTAATCTACTTTTGAGCATCTGCGTATGCGCAACATAAACGAAAAACTACGATCGAAAAAAGACCGATATTGCTGTTGCAATAAATGTGCAAAAAACACTTTCAGAAAAATATTTGGGATAAAAAGAATTAATATTCTAATATAGTATAATTGAGAATAGGCGTATTATGTAAGTTAATATCTGAGGCAACCATGCAACGTATGAAAAAGAGTATGTTAACCCCCTCGCCCCTGTTAATGTGTTGCAGCTTCCACATTTTCCATTATCTTTAAATGTTCCTTTAATTCAAACGTTTCAAAACCCATGCGAATTTTTCAAGTATACAATCTTCAAAAAGTCGTTGAATACATCCATAACTGGTACATAAATCAGTGATGTTAAAACTTGTTTTAACATGTTTACGGGT